TGCACCTTTTGGGAGGTCTCACGTAGGCGGCTCTAGGATTGTGAGAGGTGGGGAGGGGAGGGGGCTGTGTCTGAGGACAGACCCTACCAGCCAGGGTAGGAAGGAGAGGAGGTGAGGGTGGTCCTGGAAGAGACCTGATTCAGGAGCCCAGGGCTTCTGGAGCCCTGAGGGTGCGCCCCCTGAATCCACTGAGGGAAGTCTTCCTTTTAGCCCGAGTCCTCCAGTGAAGAGTGGATGTCAGGGCTGGCAAAGACAGATGCCACCTGGCACCTTCCTGAAGGGCAAGGTTGCAATTCATGTTAAAAGCTTTCAAAACACCTATTGCCTTTAATCCAAAGTACTACTTCTAAGAACGTCTCCTGGGAAAATAGGGAATGATATGCACAGAGTTTTAACTCTAGGGACTTTCATTGCAGGCTTTATTCATGAGAGAGAAAAATGAGAAGCAGATAATCTGAGTGTTCAATGGCAGGGATTTGTGGAATAATTGTAATTCTGCCATGGTAGAATAGGATACTCTATATTTACTAGCAATTTTGACACAGAGGTACTTCTATTGCGGATATATTCCTGACGGAAACATATAGCAAATAATTCTATTTTAGTTTAAAGAAAAATTGTGTGTGTGTATGTGATTGTGTGTGTATGTGATTATAAATGTAATCTCTACTTTTTTTTTCTTTGATTTTTGGGCATTTTTCCTGCAATAAATATGAGCTACTTGTATAATTATATTAAAAGGAAGATGTGACATTGTGTTGGGTATGATTTATCTATCTATCTCTCTATCTCTCTATCTCTCTATCTCTCTATCTATCTATCTATCTATCTATCTATCTATCTATCTGAGTTGGGGTCTCACTCTGTTACCCAGACTAGAGTGCAGTGGCACAATCATGGTTTACCACAGCCTCAACCTCCTGGGCTTCAGCATTCCTCCTGCCTCAGCCTCCTGAATAACTGGGACTCCAGGCCTTCGCGCCTTGCCTGGCTAATGTTTGACTTTTTGTAAAGATGAGGTTATGCTATGCTAGATTGCCCAGGCTGGTCTCGAACTCCTGGGCTCAAGCAATCTTCTCACTTTAGCCTCCCAAAGTGTTGGGATTACAGTCATGAGCCACCGTGCTCAGCCAATATACTTTATTTATAAGGAAATTGTGGCATATTAGAGAAATAGCTCTACCCAAAGAAGTTAAAAATGAGACTTGGATGCTCACCTGGTAGAATTACAAGTTGTTCTAGTCATTTATACACCAGCAAGTGGGCTGGGAGGATGGAGGTAGGAAGCTCTTTAGTTATCAGAGAAACTGAAAATCTCAGCTGCTTTTTTTTTTTGAGTTGGAGTCTCACTCTGTCGCCCAGACTGGAGTGCAGTGGCACACTCCCGGCCACCGCAGCCTATACTTGCTGGGCTCCGGCGATCCTTCTGCCTCAGCCTTTCAAGTAGCTGGAAAGTAGCTGGAACTACAGGCGCACGCTACCACACCTGGCTAATTTTTTGATTTATTGTAGAGATGAGGTCTTGCCAAATTGCCCAGGTGGATCTCAAACCCGCGGGCTCAGGCAATCCACTCACTTCAGCCTCCCAAAGCACAGGATTACAGGCTGAGCCACCGAACCCTCAGCCACTTTTAAGTAGAACCTGCCTGTGGCTCATGCCACGCCCTTTCAAAAGTAAATTATTGTGAACATTTTCCTCTGTAGATGAAATGACCTATTTCTTTTTCTTTTTTTTTTTGAGTTGGAATTTCACTCTTTGTTTCCCAGGCTGGAGTGCAGTAGCACACTCACAGCCACTGCAGCCTCAGACTACTGGGCTTAGGCGATCCTTCTGCCTCAGCCTTTCAAGTAGCTGGAACTACCGATGCACACCACCATGCCCAGCTAGTTTTTTGTGTGTGTGTGATTTATTGTAGAGACAAAGAATGTATAAACTTGAGTGTATTTTAGCCTTTAATATTATTATTTAGTTGGTTGTGCCATGGTGTGGTTGTTAGTGTTAAGAAATCAATGATATTCTCTAGAACTTTAAAAATGCAAATATTTGTGATTTAATATTTTTTGGGGGACAGGGAGGCAACCAGAAGACTTATTGAGACAAGCAGGCAGGGCTACCCATGCCTGCTCCCTGTTCCATGAAAAATTACATTTTTTTTGAGTCAGAGTCCCACTCTCTCTCCCATGCTAGAGTGCAGTGGCATGATCATGGCTCACTGAAGTCTCTACCTCCTGGACTCAGGCGATCCTTCTGCCTCAGCCTCCTAAGTAGTTGGGCCTACAGGCATACGCCACTGCACTAGGCTGTTTTTTTTTTGTAGGGACAAGGTCTTGGTATGGTGTCCAGGCTGGTTTCGAACCCCTGAGCTCAAGCAGTCCTCCCACCTTGACCTCCCAAAGTGTTGGGATTACAGGTGTGAGCCACTGAACCTGGTCAGAAATTACATTCTTTTTTTTTTTTTGAGTAGGATCTCACTCTGTCACTAGAATGGAGTGCAGTAGTACACTGCTCATGGCCACCGCAGCCTTGACCTGCAGGACTTTGCGATCCTTCTGCCTCAGCCTCCCTGTAGCTGGAACTACAGGTGTGAGCTACCATGCCCGGCTGATTTTTTGATTTATTGTAGAGATGAGGTCTTGCCAAGTTTCCCAGGCTGGTCTTGAACCCCTGTGCTCAGACAATCCTCCCCCCTTGGCCTCGCAAAGTGCTGGGATTATGGGCTTGAGCCACCGCGCCTGGCCAGAAATTACACTCATATTAAAAATCTGGTAAATGCAGAGCTGGACTGCTGTGGGCTTGCTCTAAATGTGGTCTTCTCTCTGCGAGGGTGGGTGGCTAGCAGTGCTGAGAGTCACTTGATGGTCACTCTTATCCTGGGTTGAATTTTAGCATCTCATTGTGCCCTCCTGTCTGCGGAGACTGTTTTCCTTTGTTCATGCATGGGGCATCTTCCTCAGCTTTGGCTGTTATAACAAAACACCATAGACTGGGTGGCTTGTGCATAATGGAAATCTATTTCTCACAGTTCTGGAGGCTGGAAGCCCGTGATCAGGGTGCCAGCAGGGTTGGGTTCTGGCTTGGGGCCTCTTCTGGGTTGCAGGCTGCTATCTTTCCACTGTGTCCTCACGTGGCAGAAAGAGGGTGAGAGAACTCTATGAGGTCCCTTTGATAAGGAAATAATTCCATTCATGAGGGCTCCAGCCGTAAGATCTAACCACTCACCAAAGCCCCACTGCCTAGTACCCTCCCTTTGGGGGTTGGGATTTCAACACTCGGAAAATATTTATATAGCACATATCCCAAGTGAGCGATCAGTCTGTTTGTCTGTCCAGCTTGTCCCCCTCTCCACCTCTCTACCCAGTGTCTCCACCTGGCCATCCCATGACAATCCCAAACACTGCATGCTGAGGTCCCCATGCTGTCTCTCCCCACAGCTGCACTGCCCACATCCTCTCGGTCTGATCTGACCACAGTTGCCCCCACTTCATAGCTGTGGCCGAATCTTTGGGGTCATCCTGGATTCTTTCTTTCTCCCAAACCTCACCTCCAGTCTAACAGCAAACTCACCTTCACTGATACCTGGAATTCCAACGCATCTTCCTGCCCGCTGCCTCCACCCTGATGTGATGCCGTCCTCGCCTGCCTGGTTCCACGGTGGCCTCTCAACGGGTCCCTCAGCTTCCACTAGAGTGTTCTAGAGCCCGCTTCCCGCTAGGGAGCCAGAGTTGATGCAGATGATTGACAGCGTCAGCTCGGAATGCTGCCCCCACCCCTTCGGTTCAGAGTCAACCCGGGATCCTGGCCTGGCCTCCGAGGTTCGGTTGACTCTTGGACTGATCCAGATTCCTCCTCCTTTCCTTGCTCATTCTGCTCTAGCTTGCCCGTTGCTGGGGCACTCCCTGGGTGGAATCGGCTGCCACCTGACTTAGGGTCTTTGCTCGAGCTGTTTCCTTTGCTGGAGGCGCTTCTCCATCTCCATATGCCCTCGGCCTGTTGTCTCACTGCCTTCACATCTGGGCCACCATCACCTCCCGAGCCTACCTGGCTGTGCTGTTCCACAGTGATCCCCACTCCAGCCGGCACTCACAGCTCCCTCTCCCACCTTGCTGTCTGGGCTCCATCGTGTATGAGGAGGACCTCCCAAAACCCGGAATTTATTTAAAAATTGTGTGTTTATTCTTACATATTTAAACTCCAGTCACCTTCAAAGTACTCTCCATTGGATGCAATACACCTATCGAGACACTTTTTCCACTGCTCAGTTTTGAACTTGTCAATTTTAAGACCTTTTAGTGCTTCTGCCAATTTGTGTTTAACATCTTCCAGACAGGCAAAACGTTTCCCTTTGAGGAGTTTTTCTTTTTTTTTATGGGGGGGGGGTCACCTGGGTGAGATTGGGTGAATAGGGAAGGTGGGGCACAGGGGTCATGGCGTTTTTGGTCAAAAACTGAACACTCAGCATGGGGTGGTCAGGCTGCTCGAGTAAATCACTCATCATGAAATGGGGAAACATGCTGAGAAAAATCTCCCCAAAAAAGTTCACTGAAGTCTAAGGCAGCCTCTCCCAATGATGCTATGATGCTAGCTGGTACACTGATGCCATGGGATCCTAGGACACTCACCTAGCATGGGAAACATGTACTACAAGGAACTCACCCTCCCAAGATAATTCCTGTTTTTTTTTTTTGGTCCTCCTTGTATGTGTGTTCTCACTTGGGAAGGCTCTGCTGTGTAACACACTGTCCTTTCTGTCTGTTCAAGCTCCATAGTGTGTGTGTCCTCCACGCCCAGGCCTCACTCTGGGTCACTACTCAATCAACATATGAGAACAGAGGAGTGGCTGGCTTGCTCTTAATGGTCGCTGAGAGGTAGAACTAGGGAGTCCTCATCGCTGCTTGTTCTGCCCCCTGGAGGGCAGTGGGCGCGCCTCTCAGGATCCCCAATGCTCACTGACCACACTCTGGCTCTGCCCCTCTGACCCACTTCCCCTCTTCATTTCTAGACCGGCCTTATTGTCGCCTGCTACCACGGCTTTGTGGATACCGTGGTGGCCTTAGCAGAGTGCCCCCACGTTGACGTCAACTGGCAGGACAGCGAGGGGAACACAGCCCTCATCACAGCTGCGCAGGCAGGTAAGAACTGGCTTTCCCTCCTCTCCCGGAGTCGGGCGGTGGGGACCCCTGACCATGAGCCTGGCTCCCAGGGTGATGCAGCCAGGTTGGAAAGGACGGAAGTCACGTGCTGCTGCTGAGAGGTGCCAGGGAACGGCTGGTGGTGTGAATGCCCGTCCACTTTGTGCACTCGGGACTGTGCAGAGTTGCCCACTTGTGCAGACTTCAGTAGGGGCAGATCCGGCTCAGACACCAGTCAAAGCCCTTGAACATGAAGCTGCACCAGGAACCCACCCACATCACCAGCTGTCCTGAAGCATGGCACCCCACTCCACACTCGAAGACTGGAGTGGGGGACATGGTGCTGCTGAACCCTCCAGTGGAAGAGACGCAGCTGTGTGTGTTCGTGATAGTCAATTACGAAAGTAGACACATGTAGAAGGTGACCTTGCCCTTGACTGGTAGATTTAAGGAAATGCTAGGAACTGTATCTGAGAGCTGTTAGAGTAACTGTATAACTAGTGTGACGAAGAGAGTGAGAGCATCTTGCAAACGCGCATCCGAGTGCGTGGCCTTAAGCCTGTCAGGATCATCTCGAGTGGCCTGTGCCCACGTCAACATGGCCAAGTGCACGTGGCTGTCCTCTGTAAGAGTGGCATTCAGACATTTGTGGAGACAAACATGAATGTGGTGCCTGTCTCTTCTTAACACACTTCATTTGTCTCTGTGATCTTGACCAGGTTTACAACTGACCCCTTTCAAGACACTTGGCCTTCAAGGATGATATCTGTGTCATCAGGCAGGCCCTGTGACCAGCAAAGAAGCTGCCTGGCAGAGTCGAAAGAGCAGGCGTTTGTGTGTTGAGATAGGCAGGAAACTTACACGGTTGTCAGGGGCTGTTGAGAATCCCACTCCAGGCTGGAAAGCTGGAGGAAAAGCCCTGCACAGCACTGTGTGTTGATTCTGGCAGGGGTGGGTCTGCTGCTGCCACCAGAGAGAGACCTCCTTGTCCCTTTTTGCTTCCCAAGTTCCTGTGTCCAAGTCAACCTGGGTGGATCTGACTGGGGAGACAAAGGAGGCTGGGAAAGCCAGTGTCTAGCGATGTCACTCCCTGGAGCAGGAGGTGGTCTGTGCGCCCTGCTTTTCAATTGAGACGCATGTGGGGGAGAGCTCCCCAGGTTTAGAAAGGGCTGGGGGACGTGCTAACCTGTGGTCAAGCCAGTGGGCCACAGAACAGGAAGCTTTGTCTGCATTGAGGGTTCCAAGCTTTGAAGGCGCAGGTCACAACTTCCTGAGTGGTAGGAGTTTGAAAGGCTCTTGTGGGACGTTTGGTGATCATGGGCTTGTCACTCAGTTCCTCCCATGGGCTGGGAGCTGAGTCAGGGACCAGGGTTGCAAACGTGAAGGCAGTTTTGTCCTTAAGTAATTCTGCAGCTCATGGGACTAAGTGTTAGACACAAAGCCCAGCTCTGTCTGTGGGAGCTCAGTGCTGGGGACAAGCTCACTCCATCTATCCTGGAAGTCCAGGATGGGGTGTCAGAAGAGGTGGACTTGCACTGAGCACGGAAGAAGTCCCAGACAGGTCATTTCAGCCAATGTATCACTAGACCAGGGGGCCAAGTGGGAGCCAGGCGGGTTTCAGGAATGGTGTGTCTCATGGGTGGCATGGGTTGATGTGACCGTAGGATGGTGTGTACCTGGGAGAGATGGGAGGAAGGTGGGGTCAGATCAGTAGGGATCTAGGCTCAGTGCAAGGGACTGCATTTCAGTGGCACGAGGCTGTGTGTGTGGTGAGAGGGTCCTGGAGACCCAGAGGAGGGTTCAGAGCGCAGAGAAGGGTCAGGAGCTGTGTGGCTGGAAGCACGGGTGGTGGTGGTGGTGGTGATGGGGCCACAAAGGAGGGGGTGGTCTGCGATGACTTTTGGGCTGCAGGACAGGGAATAACACCAACTGCAAGGGGCACAGAGTAAAAGAAAAGGGAGCGAGAGAAACATCCGCTCTGTTTTGGCCGTCATGACTTTGAAATACTGTGAAACCTCTAAGTAAAAGATGACTGTGTGGAAGGTGGAGAGGACAGAGCTCCAAGATCTGGTCCCAGCTGAAAACACAGATGGGTGTTAGCAGGAGTGACTGACCATGACAGCCAGGGACATGGACTAGGTCACAATGGTGTGAGAAGGTATGATAACAAGGGATTTCAGCCGGGTATGGTGGCTCACTCCTGTAATCCCAGCACTTCGGAAGGTAGAGGCGAGAGGGTTGCCTGAGTCCAGGGGTTTGAGACCAGCCTGGGCAACTTGGTGAGACCTTGGCTCTATGGTAATTCAAAAAGTTAGCCAGGCATGGTGGCGCGAGCCTGTGGTTCCAGCTACAGGCTGGAAGGCTGAGATGGAAAGATCACCTAAGCCCAGTAGGTGGAGGCTGCAGTGGCCGTGAGTGTGCCACTGCACTCCAGCCTGGGCAATAGAGTGGGAACCCTACTCCAACAAAAAAACAAAAACAAAAAAACCCCCATGGGATTCCCTTTCATATTGATTTGCAAGAACTCTGTGTGTTTTAAAGATATTAGCTGTGATTTCCTACCCCTGAGGCACTTTCTGAATTTTTACTGTTTGAAATGTTTTAATGTTGTAGTCATATATGATTGTTTCTGAATCAGATTGTACATTTTTGGCAAGGATATGGCATCAGCCATGATGTGTCCTCAGTGTGCCCCATCAGGAGCAGACGCTGCCAGTTTGTCCTGGTATCCATGATGCTAAATTTGATTAGTCAGTTACAGTGATATCCACCATATTTCTCCATTTTTCAGGTAGCTATTTCCCCTTTGCAATTAATAAGCAATCTGTAAGTGATACCTGGAGTTGGAGTGACTGTCCTGTTTCCCAGCCCATTTTTAGCTAGTGGTTTCCATCGGTGAGCCTTGCCCAAGTCACTTATTATTATATTAGGGGTTGCAAAATAGTAATTTTCTAACGCTTTTATGTCTACTATATTTATTATCTGTTTTTTTAAATAAAGAAGAGCTTCTCTTTAGCCCTGTTAGCCCTGTTTTTGAATATCATTACACACTTATTTTTAAAAATTCAGTGTGTTCTACATCAACAATGACATTATTCTTTACGGTGCTTAAGTATCCTAACCCTGGCTAGCGGGAAACCCTTAAGATGGCTTCAGTGGGCTTTTGAAATATTTCCATCAGTGTTTGAGGACTTTCTTGACTTACAGCATGTCAAAGAATTCTAGACTGTCTCTTGCCTTTCCTAGCCTTGTATCTGCAACCAGCCATTTCTTCAAGGCACAAGGGTTCTTTTTAGTGTGAAACAAAAATCTGGGCTCTAGAAGTGCTCATTGGCACTGGATATTACTGCTTCTAAGCCGTTCAGTGATCAGAGTTAGAAAAAACATACTCAAAAATAAAGACACCTTTAATTCAAATGCAATATAATTCCCCCTCCCTTCCATGTACTTATCTTTATTCTTTCTCAGTGAGAAGCCTGGTTCTCGATAATCTCCACATATTTGCTCATTTTTCTCTGTCCTACAACAAATATGCACCAAGTGGTAATGCTAAAGGATGATTTTCAAAAGCTTAAAACTGTGACTCTTAGGAAAATGCAAAGCAAATACTCATGAATTAGTGATGGACCAGTAAGATGTTAAGGCCAGTTCAAAGGAAATGTAAAGAACAGACTCTTAGAGGCAATCGTGGATGCTGAGAGGCATTAAGTAATGGATGCAAAACCAATTAATATTCTATAAGGCAATACAGTATGATGTTGGGGGTTATCTTTTTTATAAGGGGGTGCTGTGGACTGAATATTTATGTCTCCCCCTCCAAATTCATATGTTGAAGCCCTAACCCCCAATATGATGGCATCAGGAGTTGGGGTTTTTGGAAGTGATCAGGTTTAGACATAGTCCTAAGAGTAGGGCCTTTGTGAAGGGATTAGGGTCCTTCAAGAAGAGGAAGAGGCCAGCGCTTGCTCTCTCTGCATTGTGGGAGCACACAGTGAGAAGATGACCGTCTTCCACGAGCCAGGAAGAAGGTCCTCATCAGCAGCTGTGTCTGCTGGCTCCTTGATCTTGGACTTCCCAGCTTCCAGAACTGCAAGAAATAAATGTCTGCTTTAAGTCACCCAGTTTGTTTATTTTGTTATGGCAGCCTGAGCTGTAATGGGAGGTAAGTTATCTCTCTATCAGATGCAATACATTGCCTTGTTAGGGAGAATTCATTTTACAACTTCTACCCCTGTAGAGTTGTGGAATAGTCTAGTCAAAAGAAAGAAAGTTAAAGGTCCACATCCCTTCAGAACTGGGTGCTTCCAGAGAGTTCCCTGGACAGCATCCAGCACCAGTACCCCACTGGAATAATAGGAGACCCGTCTCCTCTTTATCCTGTTTTCCAGCCTTGGACAGGTTTTCTTTCTTTTTTTTTCCTTTTCTTCTTTTATTTTTCCTCCCTCCCTTCCTTCCTTCGACATGGCATTGCTCTGTCACTCACGCTGGAGTGCAGTGGTGTGACATAGCTCACTGCAGCCTTTAGCTCCTAGGCTCAAGTGTTCCTTCTTCCTCAGACTCCATCTAGCTAGGACTACATGTGTGTACCACCATACCTGGCTAATTTTTTTAATGTTTTAGAGATAGGATCTTGCTATGTCGTCCAGGCTGGCTTCAAACTCCTGGGCTCAAGTGATCCTCCCACTTCAGCCTCCCAACCTGCTGATGGTTTTTCTTGACAATGGAGTCAAAAATTACACTGCCACTGCTGCTATCAACATCACACTCTGTAAGTAAAGGACCAGATTTCTTTGTAGTTTTCGTTTTCTTCAAACTTATTCTACCCAACTGGTCTAAGAGTACCATGTTCAAAAATACAATTAACTTTTTTCAAACTTTGTTCAACCTCTCCAGAATCCAAATTGCTTCCCTTTTCACAAATACTTACCTATATTTTTCATTGATTCAGTGACCTATTGAATTTTTCCAAGAATATGGATTGTTAAAATTTGAAGAATTTT